ATTATTTATTATATTTGAAAAAATTTAAATTTAATATTCATTCATTTATATTTATTGATAGTTTAATGAATTTACAATCCAATTAAGATGTTCGACGTACATTATCAATTATTGGAAATGAAAAATTTGTTTCTTCTGTTAATTATTATCCACATTCTCAAATGGCTTCTTGTAACATTTATTCATATTTATATACAAATTCAATGAAATATTATTATAAAATTACAAATAATTTTCCAGGTGGATTATTTAGAAATGTAAAAAAAGTTTCATTACTTGATGAATGTCCATTTCCACATGAATTTTTTATTCAAATTTCTAAATCATTTCCAGTTATCACAAATTTATCATTAAATAATAAAACACCGCAAAAGAAAAAAAATTGTAAACAAAAATTTTTTTCAGTTGTTGAATTTTCTCATCTTACCGAATTGTATTTTGATGAAGCACATGATGATTATATTGAACAATTTTTATTCGGCACAAAAACATTTCTATCAAAGTAAGATTTTACTTGGTATTGAATATCAACAATTGAAAAGAGTAACACACGATTTTACCAGATTAGAAACAAGAAATAATTGCTCAAAAGTGGGCTATCCATATCAAGAATAGGTTCACAAGAACAATATTTTATATGTTTTTGCATAAAAAAATGTATTAGTTTTCTTTTTTTTTGTCAATTTATTCAAGTACAAATACAATAAAATTTAAGCTCATTCATTTCTGCTTAATCATCTTTTTGTATACTCGAATGCACTTATATTTATTCTTTTCTATTTAGTTCTTTATTTTCTCTTGATACAATATAAAATAGTTCTTTTATAGTTTTATATTTAACACATTCGAGGCGATGTGAGCCACCGACCGCTTATGCTATAGGATAGCTCAAAAGTTTCTTTACCACAGAAAAAATTGAATATCACTACCATATCTTCAACAAAGTGACTAAGTTTTTTACTACTGACAAATAAATGTTCGTACTTCATATTCATAAGAGAAATATTGGTAAAAGCGGTATTGAAGCATGACAATTGCCTTGAATAAAGAAATGGAAATTTTCACAAGTTACGAAAAATCAATATTAATATCGCCGCGAATGTGTTAAATAGTTGTCAAGTACGAGTTTTACATTCGGTATTTGTCTTATGTAAATATGCAGTATGATTCGGATCAGTGAAACACTCTAAGTATTTCGTTGTACTGGCCGTTATCTGTGAACAGTGAAGGCGATTTCAATTTTGTTAAGTTCAGCAACGAGAAAGAAACAATGAATATCAAAATAATGACGATTTCATATGTTGAATAATTACAGATGTTTGCATAAAAATAGTATGAAAATTGTTTTGGCAGTCCTATAAAAGCTGTGTGATAGGATTTAGTGCAAATTGTGTACTGAATATCAAATAGGCAATTGCAATACTCAGTAGTTGTATGATCATTTTACGATACTTCTGCCATTCGAATGATCGATGTCGAGCTAATATTACTATTACAACTATCACAATACCGAATAGAACAATTAGAATTGTTGGAATAACTTGATGAGCAATCAATTCAATTCAGATAAAAAATGAAATCACACATCATTGACGAAAAATCAAATTTATTAACACAAGGATATAGAAAGTCAACAACAAAACACTAAGATTATGCGTACAGACAAATGACGACGATTGGTAGATAGTGGAAAAATAATTGATTTGTTTTCATATTGTATAAATTTGAATGAAAAGTGAGTACGAATCTTTCGAACGCTGCTCAACTCATGGAAAATAGATCTGCATAGTATGTCACTGAGTCGATCAAAATATCGAAATAATGCAGTTTGTAAAATTCGATGGACAAACAATACCCATGTTTGTTAAGGGTGTAGGTGTGGGTGTGTGTGGGTGTGGGGTGTGGGTGTGGATGTGGGTGTGGGGTGGAGATGTGCGCGAGTGTGGGTGTGGAGTGGAGATGTGCGCGAGTGTGGGTGTGGGTGTGGGTGTGTAGGTGTCATTCCTCTCTGTCGCACACCCACACCCACCCACACCCACACCCACACCCACACACTCACATCCACCAACACTCACATGCCCATACCCACCCACACCCCACACCCACACCCACACCCACACCCACACCCACACCCACACACCCACACCAAATGACGGGAAAAATCAGATTTTAATCGATT